CTATCCGCTCTTATCTCCGCTAACGACCCGAGGGGCCCCGCTCCTCCCCTCATCCCTCTCGTGACTTATATTTTTCCACCTTATTCTTCGTCGGGTTAACCGCTGCGAGCGAGCGGTAACCCACCCCCTCGTCTTCAACCCAATCCTTTGTTCGAGTCGCGCCTTTGCGACGAAAATTCGGCCGCTTATTCCGTTAGTTGGTTTTCTCTTCTTCTCTCTGCCGGGCTAAATGCGCGGATTTATTTCGCCGTGATAAGCCGAGAGGCAGTGGCTGACAAGCGTCCTACCTCTCAACCTAACTTACTTCATCTCATTATGATAAAAAAAAGTAGCCGTCAGTGTTTTCATCCTCATCGTTCTCTCTCTCTCCCTCTTTCTCTCACCCTCTGTCTCCCGATTCTCTTTTGGGATTAATTAAATTTACCAACATTGTTTGGCGTTCCAGCCGCCTAAAGCGTTTCTATATCATATTCGGAGTTCCCGTGTTATAAAAGCGGCTAGCCTAGTCGAAATTTTGCCTTCATATTTACTCTGCTAATTCCGTCGAACTTGAAGGACTAATAGAGAGTTTCGAGATATAAACATTAGACAGACTATCGTTTTATTTTGATACTACAAATGTTCCCTTACTGCCTTTTCCTCTATAGAATCCTCTAAAGAATTAAAAATCTGGAGATAATCGAATATTAAATAATTCGAAAACAAGTTCTGTTTATGAGCCTCAGCATGAAGAAAATGGCAATGAGCAGCCATCCGTAGCGTCAAGTGCGGGACAATAACCCCGTACAATGTTACATCTCGAAATTCTCCATTCAATTTCAAATTCGATGAAATTTCAGGGGTTATTGTGGAACCAAAATTTCGACTCGGGTAATCCGAAGTCACGACATTTGTCCGACGACAACCGCAAGACGTGGCTGAAGCCAGCCCAATTTGTACGACAATGCGCTCGTTATGTGCCCCGCGGTCGTAGGGTTAATTAAATTTGCTACGTCTGATGAATACTGAATGTGCTCAGGCTATTCCGATCCTTTCTAAAACGAGAAAGTTATTTCCAGCGGAAAGTGTCGCGTGTGTCATGTATTATATCTTACACCTTATTTTCTCTCTCCAGGCGCACATTGCGGCAACGCGCGCATGAAAAACGTTTCAACCCGCTTGTGATTATATCGCGACGGAGGCCTCTCGTCGAAAGCGACTTGCGGACGCTATCGGGAGCTCGCAGGCGGGAAACGCGCGGCCAAAGTATCTCTAATTTTTACGACAATGCGCTCATTACGCGATTCTCACTGGCAACGCGCCGGATAAAAAAAAAAAGAGAGAGAGAGAGAGAGAAGGAAAAAATTTCGGACCGAATTTAGTTTGTCGTCAGAGGACAGCGAAGGAAAGTCAAATTCCCGCTTTCGGCACCGAAGGAGGCAGGCGGGGAAGCTGCAGCAGCTTCATTCGAATAAGTGGCCTCTTTAGTTTAGATTCGCCTTCTTCCATCGCCTTTCGTCCTCCTCATCCTTCTCTTCTCCTTCTCAACCTGTCCGTCCGCGCTAACCATCCTTCTTTATCCCCGAGTTCGCATCTCTCTCTCTCTCTCTCTCTACGCTCCGTCTTCTCCTTACGACGAGCTTCCCGTCGACGAAATCGGGGCGAGTCGTTTATTTAATTTTCGAGATCCTGCCATTTTATTTTTATCCCCGGGACTTTATACACTTCGCTGATTAACCCACCTTGCGGGAGATCCACCTCTCTCATCCCCCTCCCTCCCTCCTCCTGGCGGAAGAGCGCGCCGAAACGAAGGATGAACGCGGCGAGTTTGCATGGCGGGATTGAAGAAGGGTTAGGAAAAGGAGGAGGTCGAGGCAGGGATCGGCGTTCAGGGGCGCACAGGGTGGAAGGACTCGCGTCCTTCCAGAGGGAGAGGGTTTGCGTTACTCACCGGATATAGAGATGTCTAAGCCCAGCCATCACTGAAATTGCCAGAGTTTACCTCTTCCGCCCTTTTCGCCGCGCTCCATCTCCCTCCCCGGTCCCTCTCCCCAGCCCGATCGAGCTTTCCTTTTCTCAGCATGGAGCTTCCGCCCGTAAAATGTTCGACTCTTGCTTTTCATTCTCCGGGGTCGCCCGCTCGTCCTCCTGCCTCCTCTCCTACCTAGCTTTATTACAATGCGATTGTATTATCAAGATTTCAAGACTAGAAGTATCGGTCTCTCTTCTCCTTCGAGGTCTTCCTTTCAGCTCTCTTAAGCTTTTCATATTAATCTACTTTGCCGAGGTGGCTGATTTCACGGCGGGATCGACGAATCGCCTTTATCGAGTAACCTCCGCGCAATGTTTATCCGGCTGCTAACGATCGGCGTTTCGCTCAGTCACCCTCGCCATTGTTTCCCAGCATCGCTTTGACCGGATTCTGCGCGCCATAATAAATCCCTCCCTTGATATTCATTTATCACGAGTACAATCGCGTAAACTCAACTCGATCCGTTAAATGAGAGACGCTTTATTCGAGGGACGCGCGCTTTCGCCGGTATTTAACTCGGTTGACGCGCGCACTCGCGCGCGAGATGCCCTTCGCGTAAAATTCTAATTTCCGTTGAAATCAAGTCCGCTTTAGAGCGCGCGCGAATGAAACGTCAAATTTACCGAGTAGAAATTTTAGGTCTGCTTTCGACCCGAATTTTCTAACATCTGTAGACCCCGGAGAATTAACGTAGCTTTAATTTTTATGGGAACTTGAATCCTATTTAACGCCTTTAAGTGGCAAAAAACGCACAAAATGCCACTTGTAAGTTCTAAAGAGAATCTCAACAAAGCATCATAAAACCCTCAGGACCCTTTGAACTTAACCTGTTCCTTTAATCTTATTAAAATAATATATTCATTATTGATTATTCAGAAAGATAATTTTATAATTGATAGCGATACGTTCACATGTAAATGTTATGTATAAAATAATATTGAATTAATTCCTGTTAACAATATTGTTGCAGCTTGTATTCACATGATTATTAATAATGAAATATATATAGGTATTGCTGTAAATCAACAAAAACTTGAATAATGATATTGGCAATCCTTAAACTATAATAATAACTGTGTCTTCAATAATTATATAATAAAATGTTTCATAAAAGGTACCCGCGTGTTGCTTATCTTTTTTATAAAAATTATATATTTTAACATATTTAAATTTCTATGTATATTATTTCAATTAATCGTGACAGATTTTTAACAGTGGTTTAAAAAAGAAGACTTTTGATTTACTTATATTTAGTTTACTTATGTTACAAAAAGTTAAGAAAAATTTAAAAATATCACAGGTAGGAGAGAGCAGCAAACCATCCAAATAGAATTTACAGACTTGAAGTGGAAGCTGTAGGTTAAATAGAATCAAAAAGGTTGCTTTAAGCTTCAGAACATTTAGGTAGGTTTTACATGGAATATTCGGTCAGAGGTCGAAAGTAGAGTTACAATTTCAACTGGGGAGGTTGACTAGAATCAAATCGGATTCATATAAGTTTCAGAGTATCAAGATAGGCGTTAAGTGGAATTTTCAGGTCGAAAATAGGATCAAAATATCGACTCAGGTCGATCGTATAATTCGGTGTTGTTTTGCGCGACTTCGTACCCGAGTCGAAATTTTAATCCTTTAAGTCTAACTTAGTTCTACATTAAGTCTTCAAAGGTCTTCTATTGTGCTTCTTGAGCTCTCAACTCCCATTTGTAGTATTAAAAGATCATTTATTGTGCTCCTTTGATGTTACAAACAGGCGTTTATTTCCGTTTTTCTGGCCTCGAAGATTTAATGTAGAATAAAAAATGTCGATTCGGGGATCCGACGGGCGAGCACTCGAGTTGCGTGCCATTCTCGTTCGCACGATCGGACGCTTCTTCCTCGGCGCTGATCCATCTTCTCGCGATTGCACTCGCCCCCGCCACGCTCTAATTCGTCCATTATATTATCCACGCCGCATTGATATCCGCAAGTTGATGCAGTCCCCGACGCGTAGGTAACGACGGAGCCTGACATTCGCTATCTAACGCGGCAGACGCGCGAAATATCGGAGATCGAAGACGTCGAGCTCGCACGTGGCTCGTAACCACATCCGATATAGGATCCGATGTCACGCTTCAGATTCGCCTAGGAACAACCTTGAAGAACGACGCCGCGTCGGCTCGTCCCGACTTCGCCGTTCTGTAGTCCTTCGCGCGTTTCCTTTCGCTTCACGATGCGCGCACACACACCTTCCTGGAGAATCCGCGACAATCGTGCAGCCGGTAACATTTCTTCCGGTTTCGACTGTGACATTTAGCACTCGCGGGAGCGCACGTCGTTCTCGTGTTCGACGCTTTAAAACGTCATCCGGCAACTCGCACTATCGCCGCCTCTTTCGCCCTTCTTCCACCTTGCAAAGCCGCCGAGGAATGAGGGAGGGTGGAAAAGAGGGAATCGCGTAAAGCGTTCCGCTAAATTTCATAGAAGCGAAATATCGCGCGCGAGTGCACCTCTCCGCTCCGTGTTTATCTATTGACACGTTATACCGGAGCGTAAGTTGCGCCGTTAATAATGCAGCGGCGTCGATTATTTACAGCCTCGCTGTCGATAACCAGACAGGTAGGGAAACACGAAAGGCTAGAGGCAACGGGGCAAGAAAACCACCGAGCGGAGGACTGCCGTCTGCCTGGAAATGTCGCAGCACATCCAGACACAAACCATCCATATTTGATAAATTTCTTATCTGTTCCTCACTGGTACACGATCGTGCCGCGCGCGGCGGAAATTTTATTTCCTTCTTCTCCCCCCTATCCCTCTTACTCCTCCTCCTCCTCCTCCGCTTTCTCGAATATTATTAGTCGCCCCGTTGCTCGAGTTTTTACGTTCGCCAGCCACCGTGTCGGTTAATGTTGTCTTAACTAATTGGACAGTTAATTATTTTGGAATAATGTGTCTGGCTCGTGATCAGGTTCATGCGCATTTTAACGTTCGTGTTTGATTTTCTGTTCCACAGATGGTGACGAGAACGAAGAAGATATTCGTCGGGGGATTATCGGCGCCGACGACGCTGGAGGACGTCAAAAATTACTTCGAACAATTTGGCCCGGTGAGTACGAATCTCGACGAAATCACGTTACCGTGAACCAATTATTACCGTAACCTCCCCTTTATAGCGGTTGCTCAGTCAAACGACTGATTATATTCGTTCTTCTTGTGTCGTGACAAAAGTGCAAACGTGATGAGCTCGCGAAAGACGCGGAGTTTCTCCCGTGATTATAACGTACTCGGTAATCCGCCTCGAATAACGAACGATCGAAACTTCGAGGGACATTTTCTCTCTCTCTCTCTCTCTCTCTCTCAACACGGCTTCGAATTCGTAAAATTTACAATCACGCAACGCGCGCGCGCACGCTGTTACTCATCGAATCGCGAGCAACGAGAACAATATCATTGACCATCATTTCAGTCGGTTACATTATCGATGTATCGCACATCCTCACCATTTCCTCTCGCGTCGCAAAATCGCGAGCCGCACGGCGTTGCCGACGACTGTGATTCATGGGATTTACATTGTTTAGTACTTTTGCATATTTTATTGGCCATTTCGCGCGGAACGCTATTGATTTTTGGACGAACAAGTGCACTCATTTCCATTTACACGACGTCAACGGCGCGCGACGACAATTCTGCCTCGCTGCAGTTCCCATGAATTTTGATCGTTATGGCTCATAACGGTGATATCGGGGGTATCGCTATTTGGATTGTTTCAAAATGCGTGACATAATATTATCCACGTGCGAATGATCTCATTCACTCTGCCGCCCCGGACTAACTCGCCGCGCGGATTACGGAAAGTCAGCCTTCGTTAACATCATCACGCAAAATCGCACGTTAACCCCCTTCATACTCGGTCCTTCATAAATTGCAGATTATCCCCTCTCCATATATAATATGGAGTATTCAATCATCTCTCAAATATATCGCGGGGATCGAATATTCCTTTCTCTCTCTCTCTCTCTCTCTCTCTCTCTCTCTCTCTCTCTCTCTCTCTCTAAATTACAACTCTGTAATTATGAAAAATGATCATCGCGCTGCTCAGAAATCCGAGTGAGAAAATACCATCCTTTCCCCTTCCGCTTGCGCTCCTCCATCTTTTTCGGCGATTAATGCCAAAATACGAGAAAATCTCGGGCCAACCGTGAGACAACTCGACATTGTTATAAGCGACTCGTTTCGTGTCGTTAAATTGTTGATCGATGGTGCGCCCTATCTCGGTAACCCGGAGCTGCCCTCTTGCCTCACCTATCGCAAAATCCATTTAGAAAACCGAGAGAGAGAGAGAGAGAAAGAGACAAAGAGAAATAGAGAGAGAGAGAGAGAGAAAGAGAGAGAGAGAGAGAGAGAGAGAGAGAATCAGAGAAAATCCGGGTCGTTCGCGTTGGCGTTCCAAATGGCGGATCGAGTGATTAGGGACTGCCGGCTGGGCCACCTGAGGCAAGAATTTCGGCTAATTAGCTTCTATCCGCGTAGGAGCGGTACAACGCGTTATTGCGCGAGCTTCTCCCAAGTCCGGCGTGTCGATAACGACCGCGGCGACTCATCGAATGCGATTGGGACCGGCGGCCGAGTCCGACACGTACAGACACACATATCCGTGCGCGCACGCGATCCTTGATTCCAATTCGGCACGGTTGCTCTGAATGGCTTTTCACGAGACGGTAATAATAAATGATTGTAATAGGCGGAGCGGAATAATAGTTATTTAGCGGCAAGTTTTCGGCCATCTCGTTGCCGGCCGGCCGGCCCGGCCGAAACCATATCATAAAATTAGCGGCCACCTCGTCGGAGAGCCAGAGCGCCTCGATTAACCGCGAGCGATATTCTCGGGATGGGCGAACCGGAGTCCGCGTGGTGCTTTATTTATATTCCTTCTTCGCACCGCCGCCGTTAATGTCTCAATACGTTTAGAGTTTCTATATATATTCTTATATAAATTAAGAAGAAAATATATAACTTATACATATGTCAAAAAATTGTACCGATTCTCACAAATGTCGTTATGCATTTATCTATTTATGTTTCAAAAAATATTAATCATAATATGAGACACATGCGAATTCACTTTTCTATTAACACATTTAGGCTTCGTAGACTTCGTAGGCAAATCTTTGCTTGTATTGCTACTCAGCTGATAACTCTGACATCATTCCAACCGGAAGTTTATTCAAACATGGCCAATCGGAAATCAAATATACCAGGTCCAGGCTCTTATTGTAGAGACTTTAAGTGCGTTTCCGACGATTGCGCCGACGAGGAGAGAGAGAGACAGAGAGAGAGAGAGAGACACACACATCGCATCCCGCGGTATTTATAGTCCCGCGAAAAGCGAGCGGAGCAATCCCGGAAAGAGCGTGTTCTTCGATGCGAATAAATTCGTCGCATGACGTCCGCTGACGTTGTCGCACCGGCGATCGAATTAGAAACTCGGATTAACAATGCGAGTCGGTTTTAGACGAGAGAGAGAGAGAGAGAGAAAAGAGAGGTCACGCCCGATGACCTTCTCGAGTGCGTGTGCGACAAACAAGCATTAAAGTCAGCGAGTTCGCTCTTCTCCGCGGACTCGTTCGCCAGCCGACCCGATTCGTCTCGGGTCGGCGGAGCGCAATAAAAACACGTGTGCCGCGCATGAAAATCACGATAGCGCGTTTCCATTACGGCGAATCAGATTCCTTGTCACGGTCAGACGTGCGCGAACGTTCGAGTGCCCGGCGGCGGCGGATGCGAGAACGGTCGTCGTTGAATGCGGGGGAGGGAAGAACCAACGCTTATCATCGACAGGCCGGCAGTCGAGATATCAAGGGAAATTCGGCAGCGCCGAATGGCCGCATAATAAGGCGATCCCAGTCGTCCGTTGCAGATGCACAGCGTCGGCGGACATAGAAATTTATTGGAAAACTTGCTCCGGGGCTTCTCCAGCCGGCGGGAAAGGGGGAGGGATATATCGCCCCCGGGCTCTCTCAGGTGACACGATGTAGTTCCGAAGGGTCGGAGGTAGATGATGGCGGAGCACGGTCGGTCGGTCGTTCGGCCGACCGGTGAAGGAAGAAGAAAAGGAAGTCGGGGCGCGCGATGTTTGTCCGTGGCTCGTGGCATGGGCCAGAAATGGACTTGAGATATCAGAGCCTGCCGTTATCTCCGGCCTAACCCTCTCTCTCTCTCTCTCTTTTTCTCCCCTTCTCTCGTTCTCCACCGAAAGTCTCCCGTCCGGCTTTGAATGCAGAGTTTCCGGCTCGTAGCGACTCGACTTCGCGTGTGTCCATGTGTGTGACCCACATCGGAGATACCATCGGACGTGCACGCGCGCGTTCGCGCTCCCTGCCTGCTTGGCTGGCTGGCGGACGTACATGACGCCATTTCGGAGTTCGACTCCTACGTTTGGTGCACACACGTGGCCGTTATACGTACGTGTCTACGCCCACGTGCGCACACTACTAACGACGGGAGCGGGAGAGAGAGGGAGGGGACAGAGCATACACGATCGCGCTATATTCGCACCGGACGACTAACGGGCTGAACAAAAGCGAAGGGTTGGGAATTTGGAGTCGCGCCATTCGCGGAATAATCGGGATGTGTTTCCTTATGGTGTGTGGGTGTATGTGCGTGTGTGTATACACAGGACTGGGCAAACGTTTCGATATCTCTCTCCGTCGAGTGTTCGCGTTTTGATATTTGCGTGCCGTCACTGCGTACTTCATCGGTGCGATCCTGTTGGACGGCGCACACGCGCGCGCGACAAATTGACGTTCTCCCGTGTCTTTGAAGGCCGGCAAAGGCCCGAGAGCTTTCGCCCTCGGTTACGAGAGACCGGCGGACGACAACGTGTGTCGACGATCCGGGCCGAGTTCTCGTGCTCGCCGGGCATCCGTGGATGGAACACGTTTCGTGCTGCCTGGAACGTAAACACACGGAGCCGAGGCAGGTCCCGTCGTAAACGTCTATCGCTCCCCCGGTCTCTCTGGGTCAGTCCGATGCTCCATCTAGCTGATACGTATCTGATTCCACTTGTACTTGGCGCGAAAGCACGAGGGAGAAAGATAGCGGAAGCGGGAGATCTCTGTCGACGAAATAGCCAGACCGCCAGCCAGCTGATAAAGCTAATGGCATTGCCGGGAAATGCGTTATACTCATCGCGTTCCGGCTTATGAAACTTTTCAGAGACGACCATTTCATTCCGACAAACACCTGTACGTATCCACCGTGGCCGGAGCGTTCGGGGACATATTTCCCGCGTACATTTCGTGTTATCTCTTAACATGACGCGCCAGTGGAATATTTTAATTTCGCCGCGCGTATCTCGCGAGCCGAGTCCGTAAATTTTTGCGATTTCGGTCGACGAATACTTTTCGGATTCATTACATTATATATGAAAACACCGCTCCCCTTCTCTCTCTCTCTCTCTCTCTCTCTCTCTCTCTCTCTCTGTCTCTCTCTTTCTTTCTCATTCTCTTTCTCTCTGGCAAATATGACTTTTTAACGTAGTCGTTATTTATTCCGAAAAGAGTGATTATCTTGGTAGCACCAAATGCGCGAATTTTCCACGATGTAAATGTATAGTTATCAAAATGAGAATTTCTTGAGGTCGAAAAGTACTCCAAATGAAATATTTTTGAAGCATTCAATGAAGTAGATTTTTTCAATGTATCTTCACTTGCCGAATCTGTTGTCCAAATTTGACTATCATATCACAATTTTGAGAAAAATAGCACCAAAGAGACTAAAAACAACGATTTTGAGAGTTTTCATGATGATATAGCACCGGCAGCAATTTTTTTTCTAAATTTTGTTAATACCATGCGAAAGTATAAACTTTTAGCTTTAAAATTCATTTCGTTTGGTTTCGGTATAATGTTTTGTTTTCGAGATATAACAATTTGAAATAGTTCTTTTTCCATATAATATATGGAAAAGACACTTTATTCTAGCTTAATATTGCGTTATGTGGAAAATAAGTGCTTTCGTATTTATATGATATAATCGGATTATATTAAATAAAAAAACAATATGAAATTTCAACAAAATACAACATGGCAAGAAGATTATAATTTT